TTAAATCCAGTCAATATAAAGCAGGAGTTGAAGAGTTCCATCAGGCAACTGTACTGTACTGTACTGTACTGTACTGTACTGTACTGTACTGTACTGCACTGTACTGTACTGTACTACACTGTACTGTACTACACTGTACTGCACTGTACTGCACTGTACTGCACTGTACTGTACTGCACTGGTGGTGTTGGAACAAAAGGTCAAAGAACTGTTTGTTCTAGAGTTCCAGCAGTGATAAGAAGAAGGAACCAGAACAAAGGTGTTGATCTTTCTGACTGTTTCTGAGTGTTTCTGACTGTTGTTGTAGGTGATCCGCTGCAGAGCCGCTGTAGCCTGGGGGGCCGGGAGACCCCTGGAGGTGGAGGAGGTGGAAGTGTCTCCTCCTAAAGCTGGGGAGGTCCGTGTGAAGGTAAAGACCTGAGTCCAGTCTGTTGGTCTGACTGTTGGTCTGACTGTAGTACCAAATATGTCAAAGTAATAGTACTCAGAGGTACAAGTATCACGGTCCATGGTTCAGGACTGAAGTCAGTACCATGGACTTGTCCCTGCTCCGTCTCACCTGCTCCTGTATTTCAGATCGTGGCCACCGGGGTGTGTCACACTGACTCCTACACACTGAGCGGCTCCGACCCAGAAGGAGTTTTTCCCGTGGTGCTGGGTCACGAAGGAGCTGGTCTGGTGGAGAGCGTCGGTGAAGGAGTCGTCGACTTTGCACCAGGTTCTGGTCCCGTACAGTATTTAACACCGACCACGTGGATTTGATCTGACCTTTGTCCACACCTTGACCTCTGACCTTCCCTTAAAGATGTTGAACTTTTTGACTTACCATCCACGGCCTCGTCTCTATATCCAGTGAAACCCACGCTCTGGTCCATGTGGTTATGTCCCTCAGGGTCAAAGGTCATCCAGATTTAGCAGCAGTTTCTGCCTCTGGTACAAACACACAGAGAGACAATAGGATATTATACAATATACACTACAATATACTACAATGTACAATATACACTACAATATACTACAATGTACAATATACACTACAATATACTGCAATGTACAATATACACTACAATATACTGCAATGTACAATATACACTACAATATACTGCAATGTACAATATACACTACAGTATACTACAATGTACAATATACACTACAATATACTGCAATGTACAATATACACTACAGTATACTACAATGTACAATATACACTACAATATACTGCAATTGTACAATATACACAATATACTACAATGTACAATATACACTACAATATACTACAATGTACAATATACACTACAATATACTACAATGTACAATATACACTACAATATACTACAATGTACAATATACACTACAATATACTACAATGTACAATATACACTACAGTATACTACAGTACACTACAGTATACTACAGTACACTATAATATACTGTTACGTCCCCAGTCTAAGTGAACTGGTACGCAGTACTATTTTATAGAGTTTATAGTTTTTTAATTAACATTTTATTTTGTTAGTACATGAGAAACAAGCAACAAACAAAACTCTGAACTTGGGAAATATTACTTCAATATTACTTCAATACTACTTCAATACTACTTCAACACACATTATCGAGTATCGACTGTTTTGTAACGTTGGTGAATCGAACATCGTCGTTCGTCCTCTCAGATTTGCATGAGCTTACAGTGACATCTACTGGTGACAACACTGTAACTGCAGTTCAAACATTAAACTAAACTTTCATGTACTGTTTGGAAACACAAACACACATATATTTATATATATATTGTATTTACTTTGTTTGTGTTGGCTGTCGGGTCGAGGCTCGGTGGTTCTGTTGTGGTTCTGTTCTGGTTCTGTTGTGGTTCTGTTGTGGTTCTGTTCTGGTTCTGTTGTGGTTCTGTTGTGACCAGAGGTCGGATTGCTGACGGCTGTGTGTTCTTCTGACTTCAGGGGACGCGGTCATACCTCTGTACGTCCCTCAGTGCCGAGAGTGCAAGTTCTGTCGAAATCCCAAAACCAACCTGTGCCAGAAGATCAGGTACCAGTGGTGGATGATCTGTGTGGCTGCTGGTCCAGCAGAGAGATTAAAACCCGCTTTCCTCTGGTTCCTGTCTTCAAGGCTGACTCAGGGCAGAGGTTTGATGCCGGACGGGACCACTCGGTTCTCCTGCAGGGGGCAGGACCTGTTCCACTTCATGGGCTGCAGCACCTTCTCGGAGTACACCGTGGTGGCCCAGATCTCTCTGGCCAAGGTGGACCCCAGCGCCCCCCTGGACAAGGTCTGTCTGCTGGGCTGCGGGATCACCACCGGTTACGGAGCGGCTTTAAACACGGCTAAGGCGAGTGATCGACCAATCATCAATCAGTCTGAACAGGACGACTAATAATGAGGTCCACAGGAAATGACATCACAATATGAATGTGTTTCTACGGCAGCTGGTATAGATGAGTTAGTGAGAAGACGTCACCTTGTTAACCAAGAACCAGGTGAGGTGACGTCTGGACCAGATACCGCTGGTCTGTTGAACAGTCTCAGACGGTCGGTCGGTCGGTCGGTCGACAGTCGGCCGTCTTATGATGTTGACGTGTGTTACCGCTGGGCTGTGAGTAAACATCGGTACCAGCGGCAGCTCCACCTGACGTGGGCCTCTCCCCGGTGTCTGTCAGGTCGAGCCGGGCTCCACCTGCGCGGTCTTCGGTCTGGGGGCTCTGGGCCTGGCGGCGGTCATGGGCTGTAGAGCGGCCGGAGCGGCCCGCATCATTGGAGTGGACGTCAACCCCGACAAGTTTCCCACGGCGCGAGAGTTCGGGGTCACAGAGGTCGTCAACCCCAGAGAACACAACAAACCGACCCAAGACGTCCTGGCGGAGATGACCGACGGGGGGGTGGACTATTCCTTCGAGTGTGTGGGAAACGTAGACATCATGGTAAGACTTGGAGAGTCACTGGTCATCTTGACCTTTGACCCCGTGGACAAACACACATACTGACGGTACTGCATGGCCCATGAAAGTACTACACAAAAATACACAACAATACTAGTGTTTTATCACCAGGCTTTTCATTTTTGTCTTAACTGTGATGAAAGTTAGTTTTTACAAATATATAGTTTCCACTAAAAAGGTAACAACATTCGACCTTTGACCTTTGACGACGTTCCTAAGTTTGGGAATAAGCCAGTACTGGGATCATTACTCTGTAAGGTACCTTACAGACGTCAGTGGCTTCTTAAAACCAAATGTCACCTGGTATCACCTGGTATCACCTGGTATCACCTGGTATCACCTGGTACTGTCTCCTGGTGACAGAGAGCAGCTCTGGAGGCCTGCCACAAAGGCTGGGGCACCAGTGTCATCATCGGCGTGGCAGCAGCTGGACAGGAGATCTCCACCCGACCGTTCCAGCTGGTGACGGGACGCACCTGGAAAGGCACAGCGTTTGGAGGTACCAGTGTGTGTGTGTGTGTGTGTGTGTGTGTGCAGTAACCACATCCGGTTGGACGTTGGTTTAACGCTAACGCGGCTCCAAACTGACGAACATGTTCAGTGTTTTGTGTTGACGTTTTGTTCACTTTCTTTCAAATGTCCGACTGTTGTTGTTGTTGTTGTTGTTGGATGGAGCGTCGGGGTTGTCGGACTGAGGTCGTGGTCAAAATTTCCCCGCATAACAGGGTCAATCAATCAATAATCAAGAAATAATCAAGAAATAATCAATCAATCAATAATCAAGAAATAATCAAGAAATAATCAATCAATCAATAATCAAGAAATAATCAAGAAATAATCAATCAATCAATAATCAAGAAATAATCAAGAAATAATCAATCAATCAATAATCAAGAAATAATCAAGAAATAATCAATCAATCAATAATCAAGAAATAATCAAGAAATAATCAATCAATCAATAATCAAGAAATAATCAAATGCTGCTCCATAAAGAAATAATCAAGAAATAATCAAGAAATAATCAATCAATCAATAATCAAGAAATAATCAAGAAATAATCAATCAATCAATAATCAAGAAATAATCAAGAAATAATAAATAATCAATGAAAATTAATCAAGAAATAATCAATAAATAATCAATACATATCCTTTTATTTCCTGGTTTCCTGAGTGTTTCATTTAGACAACAGTCAGACTCCAACAGTCAGACTCCAACCTCCAGTCACCACGGCAGGCCACGGTGGGATTCCAACCTGTGACCCAGATGATGAGGTCTACGGCCCTCTCACCACTGGTCCACAGACGACGACGACGACAACGACGACGTCTTTATTCGGCCATAGTAGATCACCAGAAGGTGGTGCTGAAATGATCGACTAAATGTTCAAATTCAGAACCAGAGTAAAGATAATCAGAGATGTTGAAGATCTTTGTCAGGGTCTTTCTTCAATTCCTGCCAGTAAATCAGCGTCGTCTTCAACTAAACAGGCGGAGACTTCAGTCGATGATGAGGTCGTTTAAACTAGAAGATTATATACAAATTAACTGACTCATCACTGCGTCATAGCCACCGTCCACCACCGAGTGGTGATAAAAAGCAACTGGTCCATCAAGGCGTGAAGAGTTGACGGAGTCATCTGAGAACGTCAAAGAATGAATTAGCACGTGTGTTAGCATGTGTGTTTATTAGCACTCTGAGGTCACACTGTCTGTTTCACCAAGCACTGACAAAAGTACTGCACTGTGTGTGTACTGTGTGTACACTCATTTGGACCTTCACTGGAGAACGTGTTAGAATCCTGTTTGTGGAACGTCCGGTCCACATTCTTCCTGCAGTAAAACTACAGTAACTGTACTACATAGTCGTAGTATCTATGGTCTCTCATTGTTGGCGGGGGGGGGGGGGGGGGGGGTTAACAGCTCCTGGTCTGGGGGTCATAATATCTCAGTAAGTGTTTTATGAGGGGGGGTTCAACTTTTTTTTTTTTAATCAATCCAGATTTTTAAAACACTGCTTTATTTCCCTTTGGTGTAGTACTATAGTAGTACTGCAGTACACTGAATCCTAGACAATGGCATAGATGTTTTGTGAGAACATGAAACAGGAAGTCTCTAAAAACCTGAACAACAACAATAAAAAAAGGAACTTTTTTGTTGTTGTGGTTGTTGTGAATAAACAACAACCACAATAACAACAACCAGATCAACAACAACAACCAGATCAACAACAACAACCAGATCAACGTAAAGCTTCAGTAACTGCTCTGTTTGAGGATTTTCGGACCACATACTGAAACACATTGTGTTGTTGATCAGTGAGCAGCTGTCCACCAGGTGGTGCTACACCACAGCTCAGTGACCACTAGTCTTCAAACTGATCTGGTCACAGTGACCAACACATGTTGAGCTGCCGGTTCCTCCGGGTTCTACCAGGGTTCTACCACGGTCTTCACTCAGAACACCACACAGAAAGCCATGGAGGATGTCGTTACAGGGTGGAGCCACAGAGTGGAGCCACAGGGACATGAATACTTTACTCCGAGCAGACAGTTTAGAGTAACCCACAGGTGATATAAGACACATTCAAGTACTTCAGCCGTAGTTTGAGAAACCATGATTTAATGGAGAGAACATCCAGAGCTCCGTCAGGTGGCGCCTCGTGGTCCAAACCTGTGGGTTTCTGTAGGAACCCCAGGTTTGACCCGTGTCCGTGTCAGTCCGGTCCGGTCCGGTCCTCAGAGGGTTCCTGTCCAGACTACATTTGGCTCAGGAAGTGAGCCTGACTGTTCTCCTCATGGCGGCGGGTGAGAATCTCACAGCCCGTCTCCGTCACCAACAGGGTGTGTTCAAACTGAGCCGAGCGCCTCCCGTCCCTGGTCACGGCCGTCCAGCCGTCGGGCCAGGTCTCGTCCTGCCAACCTCCTGAAACGGCACAGAAAGACCATGACTGGACCAGGACTGGACTGGACCACGACTGGACATCTTGATCACAGACGTATAGACATATTTACAAACACACACACACACACATATATATATACACACATATATACAAACTTACATACATACATACACAGTGTTCCCTCTATATCGCAGCTCACCTTTCACTCCAGTACATCGCAGATGATGTTTTTAATCAGATATCGTAACATTTCCGCTATATTGCGATAATTTACTGTATTTTTTAATTTACTGTAAAGTTTTGAAATAGTTTCCTCATTTTCGTAAAAAAAAAATTTTTAGCCTAAAAATGAATAAAGTATATAAATAAACGAAAAGATATTTTGCGACACATACATAGAGGTGAATGAAAAAACGTACAGTATATGGTATTTAATTAATGTAGGGTAATGACCTAACTTGGACACAGGAGGGCGCTGTTGTTGCTCGCGCCTCCAGAGTCAGGCGGTTGTGGCTGTTTTTGTTGTTGACGGGACACCGTATTTTTGGCGCTGTTGATTCTGTGTCTGTGTTTGTCTGTATCTCAGTAAAGAGGAGAAAAAGAGGTCACGTGATGACGGTGTGTAAAAAAAAAAAAAAGGTCATCGGTCTGAGCCAGAAACATTTACTATACTTAACCATTACCACCAGCAGGGGGTAGTCACCCTCTTTGTCTAAACTCAGCAGCGATGTCTACGTTCTACAGCAGCCCCTGCAGGATGAACATGACCAGGACCAAGACATCGACGTTGATCTTGACGATCATCGTCGTCATCGTCATCATCGTCATACGTCACCGCACAGCAAAATCTTCCTCTTCATCCTAGAATATCAACTGTCGTATCTGTTTTCTCATTCATAATTTAAAATGACATTTACTTTTTCATGTGGATTTTAATTCATAATTAAAATGATTTTCACATTGTTTTTTCATGGTCGTGTATGTCATGTATTTAACGTATTGTACTGTATGGGTACTATATGTCTTATATTTCCATTCTACAACTCTACTGTGAATATAACAGTGTGGGGGGGGGTTAGTAAAGGGTTAATATATATACGTCAATAATAGAATAACTATCTCGCCTCTAATTCGCAGATTTTGCTTTTTCGCGGTCGCTCTTTTAACGCAGCTACGACAACAGTAGAGGGATCACTGTATACATAAACATAAATATATACAAATATTTATACATGCATACACAATATAAACATATATTCATACACACAGATACACACACACACATATATGTAGCAGACTGACCTTCACAGATCATGGGCTCGATGGTGAACACGTGACCAGGCTTCATCACACCGACTGCTTTGTTTTCTGGGGAGTCAACAACAAACAGCAGCTGTGTTAAAACAGGTGACCGTCGACGTTAACGTTACATTTACGTTTCTGGAGCGACACCCACTGGCGTAGTGTGGCACGTTGGGGGCGGTGTGAAACAGTCGGTGGATCCCGTGGCCACAGTAGCTGCGCACCACAGAGAAGCCGTTGGCCTGAGCGTGTTTCTGGATGATGTTTCCTAACTCTCTGTAACGGACGCCAGGTTTGACTGGAGGAGACGACAGACCACAACTTCAGGACTGCAGTACTCCAGAACAAACACAGGTACACGGTACACACAGAACACAGTACTGTACGGGTGCAGTGCAGTCAGGCAGTAATACACCATTAACAAGTACAATAAAAAGGAGGCGGAGCTTCAGTCGTACCAGAGTCGATAGCTTGCATAAGACATTCGTACGTGGTCTGGACCAGCTTCTTCGCTTCTTCGTCCACCTCACCGACAAAGAAGGTTTCATTCAGGTCACCATGGAAACCGTTGTGGTAGACGGTGATGTCCACTGTGCACAAGTGAAGACACGTGATGAAAGAGTCATTGTTTTGGAACATGAGAGGATACACCCGGTCAATATGTGGTACTAAAGTCGCTGTAGTACTGAGTACAGCCAAGAGATGGCAGCAGAGGGCAACTGACGTCATATAGCTCACCGATCAAAGTTACCTGAGTGAGGTACGTACACTCTTGTTTCAGCGATGTTAACAACATGCTAATAAGCAGCTAGCAACAACAGAAAGCTACAGGGGCAGGTCATGTCTACGGGGTAGTTATCAAACACCCCGCTGTCGTCACTCAGCGACAGGAATTCTGGGAGCTTTAGTCCTTCAGAACCAAGCCTTGGGTTCTAGTCCAGTCTAAAGTTCTAACGGCCTACAGAACAAACCTGGAACACACCTGGAACTTTCCAAGTTCCTGTAAAGTTCTCTTCTCTGTACAAATAAAAAACCTGTTGTTCTTTGTGTCGGCTGTAGTGAGGAACGTTCACCTACACTGGGATAAAGAACAACGTAGAACAAAGAACTATGACATGAGTGGTCAACACGTCCAGAGAGACGGGGCGGGACACTGACCCCCCCCTCCCACAAACCCTTTCCCAACAGTACTGACATGAATCTCTCAAAGATATAATCCTATGTCTTGGATGAAGCCAGGGGTCAGAGGTCAGAGGTCAGGTACCGTTGAGGATGTCTCCGTCCTGCAGCTGTCTTCTGTCTGGGATGCCGTGACAGATGACTTCATTGACTGAGGTGCAGCAGGACTTTGGAAAGTTGTAGTAGTTGAGGGGGGAGGGGTAGCAGTTCCGTGCAGTACAGGCCTGAGCAGAACGTAAGGCAGAACGTCAGGCAGAACGTAAGGCAGAACATCAGACAGAACGTCAGACAGAACGTAAGGCAGAACATCGGGCAGAACATCAGACAGAACGTAAGGCAGAATGTAAGGCAAAACATAAGGCAGAACGTAAGGCAGAACGTAAGGCAGAACATCGGGCAGAACATCAGACAAAACATAAGGCAGAACGTAAGGCAGAACGTAAGGCAGAACGTAAGGCAGAACATCGGGCAGAACATCAGACAGAACGTAAGGCAGAACATCAGACAGAACGTCAGACAGAACGTCAGGCAGAACATCGGGCAGAACATCAGACAAAACATAAGGCAGAACGTAAGGCAGAACGTCAGACAGAACGTCAGGCAGAACATCGGGCAGAACATCAGACAAAACATAAGGCAGAACGTAAGGCAGAACGTCAGACAGAACATCGGGCAGAACATCAGACAGAACGTAAGGCAGAACATCAGACAGAACGTCAGACAGAACGTAAGGCAGAACGTCAGGCAGAACATCAGACAGAACGTCATTAAAACGTTCTACCAGTCTAACAGGTCAGACTTCAGACCAGGGTCCAGAGTCTCCACTCCACAGTGTCCACACTGTCATATATGTATGTACACTGTCGTATATGTACACTGTCATATATGTATTTACAGTGTCATATATGTACACTGTCATATATGTATTTACAGTGTTATATACTGTATTTACACTGTCATATATGTACACTGTCATATAAGTACACTGTCATATATGTACACTGTCATATATGTATTTACAGTGTTATATACTGTATTTACACTGTCATATATGTACACTGTCATATAAGTACACTGTCATATATGTACACTGTCATATAAGTACACTGTCATATATGTACACTGTCATATTTGTACACTGTCATATATGTACACTGTCATATAAGTACACTGTCATATATGTACACTGTCATATACTGTATGTACAGTGTCATATATGTACACTGTCATATATGTATTTACAGTGTCATATATGTACACTGTCATATACTGTATGTACAGTGTCATATATGTACACTGTCATATATGTACACTGTCATATATTTACACTGTCATATATGTACACTGTCATATATTTACACTGTCATATATGTACACTGTCATATACTGTATGTACACTGTCATATATGTACACTGTCATATACTGTATGTACAGTGTCAGTGGAACATGGAGCTACAGTCTTAGTTCAAGGTTCCACACACACACAACTTCAATGATGTAACAATTAAAGAGGTCTACAGACGGACCCTTCAGTCATACTGTCTACAGACGGACTACACAGTCTGTGTGTGTGTGTGTGTACCAGGTGAACAGCGTGATCGATCTCTTCCGTGGTCACTCCTGGCTTCACCATCACAGCTGCGATGTCCAGGACTTCTCTTGCCAGCTGCAAACAACGTGAGAGAAAAAGTGAAGAAACAGAACCAAAGGGGTCAAGGGTCAAGGGGTCGGGGGGGTTCCAGTTTTACCTTGGACACCACCCTCATGCCTTCGATGTCCTCTGGAGACAGGATCTTGATCTGGGACGTTCCTTTCAGAAACTGCTCAGACTCGGACATTCCTGTGGGATGACCTGGAGGTCAGGGGTCAGGGATCATCCTCATGTTCAACACTGAAACACAGAGGGGCTGGAACCTTCTCCTAGACCCCAGACCCTTGGACTGAGGTCCCTGCTTTAATGATGAGTCATCAGTGTGTCAGGAGGCACAGAGTAAAGCAGGGGCTATGAGTCTGTTGATACAGAGCGCCTCCTGCTGGTGTCAGCAGCTGGGTGGTGGTGGTGGTGC